GAGAAACAGAATTTTGCTACTTTTATTTTAAAACAAAATTCTTCTTATCCCAAAAACTTGGTAAGAGACACTGCAGTTGCAACTGTTGGCACAGATAAAGAAATTTTGTTTCCAACTTTTAGCTTCAGATGTGTGAGAAACTAAAACACAAAATTGTACCTCAGCTCGTGGCACCCAATAAATAAAATATGACTGAAGGCATCCCAGAAACTCACCAAGTTTGGGTCAGGGTACCTCTCACCCCAAATCTGCATTTCAAACCCTGGTGTGTTTTTAAAGTAATGTATCTTCTATATACATTTCATTTCCCACCTGTTTTCTGTGGGTTTTTTTGCAATATTTACCTTAAGGATGCAACTTTAGACATGCTCAGCTCACAACTCACTCATTAAAATCCTTTTTTTCAGGGCCAACAATCCAGAATCTTCAACTTCCTACTCAAGGAATAATTTGTTCTTCTGACTGTATCATCCACATAAACAGTCTTTAGGTTGATCCAAACAAAGGGGGATTTGGCTGGGACATTGCCAGGACAAAACCATTCTCAAATATTAAACAGAATTATGTGAGAGGAGCTGGTGGAGCTTCCAGTGGTGCTCCCAGCTGGATCTGAATGGCTGCTCCTGGTGAACTTTCTGAGCCCTCACAATGAGTTTGTGTCAAGCCATGAGCTCAAAATCCCACACAGAGTGGATTTTGCTCCCAGTCCCACCCCAGTTCTACCACACACTGCCTTTTCATCCTTCTCCTCACTGAAAAAAGGCCTTTCCCATCCAAAATCTGCTCAAACCAAAGCTGGGACACCTCCACCTTCTCCCCAGGAGGAACATTCCCTTTCCCATTGGAGTTTTTGCAATGCACACCAAATAAAACTTCCAGAAACACAGGAGGAGTCATTAACTGCTGCCAGTCTCCTAGACAAACAGGAAAGGCAATTTCCAAGCCACACTAAGGGCTTCCATGGAATTGCAGCAAACCCCTTTGTGCTTTCTAGGAATTTAAAGAGCAAGGAAAACAACCATGTGGCACCATTTGTCTTAATACACTGCTTTAAGTGCCTTGATAATCAACAGGGAGGTTTAAGCTCTCTCCATGCACAAAATTCCCCACAAATGCTGAAATTAATTGCAGCAGCAACAGGAGATGTGCACAGGTTAATTTACAGGATCTGGGAAGTCACTCAAGTTGCAGCAGTTATTGTAAAGGTACTTTATTATTGCAGACATTGGGTGAGAATTTGTGATGATCAACTACAAAGATCCTTTTTCCAGCTTTTTGTTATAAACCAGATCTTAATCACAAGTTTTCCCTGACATTTTACTGGCCAAGTTTCAGAAAGTCCTGATGATTATAAGATTGAAGCAAGAAACAGCAACAGCTGAGCACTGCAGTTGAAAAAAACCAATATTGTACTGGCTTTTTTGTTTAGATTAAAAGATTACAACACTTTATTATTATAGTCAACACCTTATTATTATAGTTTGGCAGAAATAAAATAGCAATAAATTCATTGAAGACAATGAAATAATATTTCTGGGAAGCCACCTGTGCCCACACTGCTGAACAAAACAGGTGACAAAACCTCTCTGATGCACCAGCTGATGCCTATACTCACTTTATTGTCTTACTCTGGGAGCCAAAAATCTTTATCCTCATTTTTAAAATGAATTAACTGATATTTATCTGATTATAAAATCTGGGTTATGTGTGTTTGAAGCACAGTGTATTTGGAGTTTTACTCCCTGCCCCATTTAGTCATTTTTTGGGGCTCTCAGGTACAATTGGGTTTGTATCAGAGCTGTCACTTACTCTTCAGCTCTCAAAAACTGAAAATTCCTGAAGGGACATGGAGGTGACAATGTGTATCCATAAGCATGGATGGCCTTTGATGGAGTAACAGAGTTATTTAATGTATTCAGAAGAGAGTTCTAACACTGAACACACTGAGATGTACATGGAGGAGCTCACCAACCTGCAGAAGGGCAAAGAAAACTTCCTCATCCAAGCCAGACATCTGAATTTCCTGAAAAGAATCTGCTGGTGATTAAGGTGTCCTCCTGAGGGAGCAGGGTTTGATCCCAAGGATGGGCTTCCTGCTTGATTGCCATATTTTTCCTCCCAGGAGTTCAGGACACAGCTATAAACTAAATAAAACAAAAAGCTCCACATTCAATTATGGCTTGTTATTATTTTCAATATTTTAGTTATTTTTTCTTCCAGCCTAACAGGTGTACTCTGTACACAGCACAGGATGGAAACCATGGAGCTCTGCTGTGCTGTGGGAGGGTTTTTTTCCACAGAGGATTCATCCCAAGTGCAGCAAACCCCAAAGCACCTTGGCTGCCATCAACTAGCATAGCCAGTGACAATCAACCAGATCACAACAGGTCATTGCACTTACCCTGTGACCACAAAACATTTTTGGAAGTTACAGCCAACTAGCAGCTGTTAAAAAAAAGAAAGAGAATGAGTTGTTTACGAGTGCTTTCACCCCATCAGCCTCTCCCCTAAGCCTCTGCCTCAGGGTGGGGCACAGGACAGATGCTGAGGCTGCTCCCAGCCAAGCAGCACCCAGGGATGATCCAAACAAGGGGGCAATTTGGCTGGGACATTGCCAGGACAAAATCATTCTCAAATATTAAACAGAATGATCTGACAGGAGCTCCTGGTTTCCTGCAGGCCAGCCCAGCCTGGCTCTCCACACCAGGAGAGCACTGACAATCTCACACACCACAGACTCCTCCTGCCTGCATTTTACTTGCATGAGACATTCTGGGGCTGTGGCCCAAAACACCAGAAAGGCTCTGACATTTTAGAGCTCTGAGCCATAGAAAATATCAACACTCCAAACCATTTTGCCTTCTTGGACCCTTTCCACAATCTGGAGGCTGTTCATTAGCAGAGTTGTGGAATAACACAATTTTATACAACACTTTTGACTTCACCCATGTCAAAACCAACTCATATGTGACCCTCTACCCACAAAATGCTGTTTATGTTCATCAGTGTTTTCTTTTTAGCCTTTAAAGGCTCATTAAATGCAAAACAAGAGCTTAAATTAAACTTGAACCCCAGGCTCTTTCCATTGTGTTTGTGAGGGGCTCCAGAGTGATACCCAAAACTCAGCTTCATCCCAGCTTCCAGAAATGCAATTAAAGCACAAAGACAAACTGAAATCTTGGCAGAACAAGGAATTTTACCTTGAAAATAAAGTGGGATGTATGTGGATATAAATCCCCCTGACATGTCCAGCTCCAATTTTAGTCTCTTCACATGTATTAATACACACGTGAAGCAGTTTTCCATTTAAAATTCCATTCCCCAAAGTAACAAAGATTAAAAATAGTGTACTAAATTAAAACAATACATTTACAGACTGGAATATGCCCTGCTATGCAGAGTCCAAATCTGCTTTATGAATTACATACAGCAGAAGAGAACATTTTCCAATGAAGAAGGAATCTTCTCCAAGGATCAGCAGTCCCAGCCAATCATTAACTGTTTTGTGAAGATCACCAGTGCAGACCTGAGTTTTCTGCTCCCAAAATTACCCCAAAACACCTGTGTTCAGTGATCTAGAGGGGATTTCTTTTATAATACTTGAGTTACAAGTGTGCAAGACACTGGGTTTTTTCAAACCAGATTAAAACTTGCATGTGGTGTCCTCTTTGTGCATCCTACACATAAGTCTAGGAGGACTGAATTTACAGCATCAGAAATGCTGTATTTATACTTTACAAGTGTCATACAACCATTAAAAAAATATTAGTTTTAAAACAAGCAGGAACTCCACTCCTTTCACAAATGCCATTTGTGTCTGCTGGGAGCAGCTCATGTTTTGTTTTTATCAAATATAACAACTCTGAGCAGTGATTATAACCTATGAATTCTCTGTAAATCAGTCCCTCAAACTTCCATTTTAATGCACAAGAAAATATGGCTACTTGATAAAGTGAAATTAAAGTTAACACACCTTTTGAAAGCCTACACAAAATAAGAGAGAACTCCAATCACAACCACCCAGAACATCCATCAGTGGTGCTGCTCTTCATTCAGGACAGTTCCACAGGCTGGCATTTGGTACATAACACCTTAATTTCACCTTTCTGAATAAACAATCTTTTCTAAAGATGCTGTGAATTGTCTTTAGGAAAGAGGCAAACCCCTAAAACCTTTGCAACTTCTCTGCCAGTATCTTTAAATATGTAAGACCATGTTGTGTTGAAGACAAAATGTTTCAACAGTTCTTAATACTCAACATCACAAACTCTGCACTTCAGGAGGAAAAACTGCTTACAAATATTTAGTTAGCTACAACCAAGCCTTACTGTAACCTTACAAACAAGAAATTCATACTTTTCATGCTGCTGCAATGTTTTAGCTCCTCTGGCAAAAAGCACAAGTACACTTTGAAGTTCCTTGCAAACGAAACCAACACAACCAACCTACGTTTTGCTGCCCACTAGCAAGTGACACTGCCAAGGCCAAGCCAAAACTATTTTAGTCAGACAAACAGTGGGGATGAGACGCTGGCTTTCAGCTAGACAACCTCAGCTCGAGATCCAGCCCTAGGGAAAGGAAAGGCATCAGATCACAGCATGCAGCAAAGCAGCAGGAAAGCATCGAGCGGGACTCGACTCCAAACGTACCTGGTGGGAAGGGTCCAAAGCTCTGCACACTTCCACTCCTCACCAGGGAAATCCAGGTGCAGGCAGGTTTGAATCACACACTGTGCCTGGCAGAGGGTTAGCTTGGCTGCCAGGACCAACACAGAGCATTCCCAAGGATGTCCCAAGCAGAGGAAGAGGTGCACATGCAGGGCTGGGCATGCGGGGAGCCTGGGTGACCCTGCCTAGGCACTGACAGCTCCTTGAGTACCAACCTCTTTTCATGGGCAGAGGTTCTTTAGATGATTTAAAGACAAAAACCCCACAGAAGTTGACTCTGGCAAGGCCAGCAGCAGCTCCTGCTCTCAGCACAGAGCAGCAGGGCACACGTACCTTCTTGTGAACAACGGAGGAGGTGGAATTAATGGTGCTCTCGTCACTATGCATCATGACCAGCTCAGGGCTGCTCTCATCCAGGACCTCCTGCATGCTGCTCACACTGCTGCTCTGGCTGCCTGTGCTCACAGACATGCTGGGGATGGAATGGTTGCTGCCCAGACTGTCCATCTTCCTACTCAGGTTTGATCCATGCTCACTGTCCTATAAAACAAGGGGCATCAGTTACAGATCCTGCAGGACACCACCTGCCCAGCACGTGCCTGCAATGCCCAGAGTTTGTTTTAAAGGTGACTCTGCAGGCTTCAAGGGTCTTTGGGCATTATTTTGCCAACTGCACATCTCAAAGGGCTGTTTGGGTTCTGGAATGCTCCATATCAGGCAGGCAGCTCCTGCCTTTTCCCTGCAATCTGATCACATCAGCTTTCAAGCCTTTTTTTTTCCATGTATCCTTAAGTCTGGGCATGGCTCTTGGCTTGATAGGAGACATCCAGGAATACTGGATGGCTGGTGGAAAGAGCCTCATAATTAAGAGAAATTATCCAAGTTTGAATTAAAACAATGCTTCAAGTCAGGATCTGCTATAACACATTGCCTGAATCAGAAAATATGTAAGACAAGGAATCCATGTATTATTTTGTATGTTCTACATGGTGTAGAGGTTTTAACCTCCCAAGCAGTCAACAATTCCATTTTATCAAGCTAAAAACCCCTTGAACCTTGTGCTTACAGCCAAGATAAAGGTGAGTGAAGAATCTTAGCAGCTGACTCAGATGAGCCTGCATTATTATAGGGGTAAAAACTTGGATATACATAAACAAAGATTTCTCATGTAAGAGGTATTTTTGATTATACAGCCAAATATCAGGAGTTAGCCTTTTTTCTTCTTCCATACCCATAGGAGTACAGTAATGCCAGAGTATGCACTTAGTCTGGACTGATTGAGAGAATTGATGGAGTCCTTTGTAATTAACCAGTGGCACCAAAGAGGCTCGTAAGGAGCTCACAGTGAGGACAGAACCCTGAACATCCTCCAGCTCCTGGGGTGAAGCAGCCTTGACTCACTAAAATGAGCAGCCTGCTGCTGCATCCAGTTTGCCCTGGCCTCTGAAGGGAGCTTGGGGAGAATTCCATTACAAATCAATTAACAGGGAACTCATTTTGTTGGAGACCGACAGAAAGATAAAATTGAGACTTGACAGATTTGCCTTTGATTGTGTGATTATTTTTTAAGCAATCAGCAGATCATTCAGAGCCTGTGTGAGAGCACTTAAAATCCAGAATAATACTATTTTACAGAGAACACAGGGGAATGAAAATATTTTCAGGATGCTTATGTAGAGTTGCAGAAGAAATCACATAATGAAGGATCTGAGGCTGTGTCATTAATGAATGTTTCTGCAGGAAGGACAGAGATGAGATTGCATTTGCAACCTGGCTTCCTAACTTCAACTTTCACCTTCTTGGGAGGGTTCTGAGGAAAGCATTAGTAACATTTTGCATGTTAAATATTTTTAAGGTTCAAAGGAAGTGCCTGGTGGCATTTCCAGTGGGGCAGGTTGTGTCCCCAGCTCAGCAGCACGTGCTGGGTCTGCCTTCCCTGCCCAGTTAGTGACACACACACACACATGAGCAGTGACACCTCCTGTGCTGGGACAGGGCTCAGGGGTCAGTGCAGAGCATGCTGTGCACATGCAGAGTGTCAGCTGCATCCCTGCCCTCCCTGCAGCTCTTCTTGCTCTCTTTGGGAACAGGAGGAACAGAGACACACCTCGGAGCCAAACACCACCAGTGTTTCCTGTGAGCTGCAAGTGCTCAACAGCCAAGTGGGAAACCATTCCCTGCTCTGCTGACAGCCTGGCACTTGTGGGCAGAGAAACTGGGAGGTTTCAGTGCACAAGTCTGACAATCCCCAGTCCCCAGCTAAGCTCCAGGTCTGGAAGCTGGAGGGGACCTTCAATCACAGCAGCTGCTGCTCTTGCTCCTTTGGGGCATCTTCACAAAGTGCCAGTCCCCTCCTCCTGCAGCTCCCACATGCCCATTTCTTCAAACAGCTGAGCTTTCAAGGAGCATTTGACACTCCCAAACCTCAAATCCCAGCTCCTGAAGATCCCCTGAGCTTGGGCACCTTGCTGTGCGTTATTGCCTCACTCCACTGGAGCAAAGGAACACAGACATCCATCTGTCTGTCAGTGTTTTTCATTGAGGAGTCATGGATTTATTTATGCACTGTGCCTGCACCAAGTGACATTAATTTCCATCTAAGCTCATCAATTGAAAAATGACTGGTTTCCTTCTCTCAGCCACAGTTAGGGTCGATTATCATACACTGATTAAGTGGGTTGCTTATTCCAAGATTTAAACTGAAGTTGCATTTTAGGTCTTTAACCTTTTTCTTCCTTAACATTAAAGAAATTTAAAAAATAAGTCCTACTAATTCAGTGATTTGCTTTTCAGCTCATGAGAGGCCAATTACTTTACAGTAAAGTTATGGTAATTGAAAAAATATTAACATTAATGGAGTTGTTTTGACTGTGCAGATGAGAAAGAAAAGCTTGGGCTGTCAAAGACCCTCCTCCACACAGGCTGGGAGCCACTTCTCACAGAGAACCTCCCTCAGAATGAGTTTCCTTCCTAAGGCTTCCAGAAGAATGGGCAGCACTGGAAAAAATCCAAAGTTCCACATGTACAGTAATTGGCAGCTTTAACACTGAGCAAGGACTTTCACTCATTATCCTCTCCTGCCTCTCTGCTGAGCCAGATGAGATTCCAACAACATTCCTCACCTAGGCTGTGCTTGTTCTAAGGACAGGAACAGCTCCCTGGCCCTGCAATGACTGGTAACAGTGAATGGGGTGCCAAACCCTTCCCAGTACCTCCTCCTCCTCCTGGGACTCGTTCAGGGGGCCATTCCGGGTCTCCTGGAAGAGGATTTTCTTCATTTTCCGGTACTGCAGGTTGTCCAGCTCCCTCACTGCATCCTTGGTCCTCTGGATCAGGTCGAGGAGCACCCTGGGCGGCCGCTCCCGGCGGACAAAATCGTGCTGGGGAAAGGGAGACACAACTGGGGTGAACTCTGGGCTCANCTGGGACAGGGGAGGATTTGTTAAAGGAGACACAACTGGGGTGAACTCTGGGCTCAGCTGGGACAGGGGAGGATTTGTTAAAGGAGACACAACTGGGGTCACCCCTGGGGTCAAACGGGAACAGAGGAGGATTTGTTAAAGGAGACAGAACCCCTCAGTGCAGAATCTGGGGTTAAACCAGGGAGAGTGGCGGACTTGTTAAAGGAGACAGAACATCTCACTGCAGACTTTGGGGTTCAATTGGGCAGTGGGGGACTTGTTAAAGGAGACAGAAATCTCACTGGGGTGAGCTCTGGAGTTCAACTGGGATCAGAGGGGACTTATTAAAGGAGACAGAACCCCTCAGTACAGACTCTGGGGTTAAACCAGGGAGAGTGGCGGACTTGTTAAAGGAGACAGAACATCTCACTGCAGACTTTGGGGTTCAACTGGGACAGTGGGGACTTGTTAAAGGAGACAGAAATCTCACCGGGGTGAGCTCTGGGGTTCAACTGGGATCAGAGGGGATTTATTAAAGGAGACAGAAACCCTCAGTGCAGACTCTGGGGTTAAACCAGGGACTATGGGGGACTTGTTAAAGGAGACAGAAGATCTGACTGGAGTGAGCTCTGGGGTTCAACTTGGACCATGGTGGGATTTGTTAAAGGAGACAGAACACTTCAGTGCAGATTCTGGGGTTAAACCAGGGACCATGGGGGACTGCAGAACATCCCACTGCAGACTCTGGGGTTCAACTGGAACAGTGGGGACTTGTTAAAGGAGACAGAAATCTCACTGGTGTCACCCCTGGGATTCAACTGGGACAGAGGGGGACTGCAAAACCCCTCACTGCAGACTCTGGGGTTCAGCTGGGACCAGTGGGGGACTTGTCAGCCCCCTGAAGTGACACCTCCCATTCTTGCAATTTATCTGTTCATATTCAATAACTGGTAGTAGCCTTTCTGAAAGGCTCCACACACACTGAGCTCCTGCTGGGGTCAGGTTTTCTGAGCTCTTCAGGCTGCACAGATGATTTGTCCCTTCCTGAACAAGTTCACTCAAAACACACAAGGTGACACTTCAAACCTCAGAAGCACAGGAATGATCAAAATGCATCCAGAAGAAACAAGAATCAACCTGCCAAGATTTATCCTGCATCCATCTATTCCAATTCGCACATAAAACTTCCAAATATTCCAATTCACACACAAAGTTTATTTATACCTAAAACTTTCGTAGCCAGAGTTGAAATCAAATCAGGCTCTTGCCAACTCCTGCACAGGTTTTAAGTGCAGAATTAATAAATTCCTTAATGGTATGTAGGAACATGATTAAGGCTTCTTCTCTGATTTATCAGATACATTCTCCTGCACTTTACAGCTGGCAGTGGATATAAAAGTCTCCAGCTTTCCCATTTAACCTTGGCTAAAGGAGACAACCTGAGTGAACATTTGCCAATGCTTTTACGGGATCCCTACAGCTGGGTGTGCTGCTTCCCAAGAGGGATGGCTTTAGGGCACAACCATCCTCTGCATGCTTGTAGAAAAACAGAAAAAAATGGTGAAAAAAAAAATTGGCAATGGAAAAAGCTTGAAAAAGAGTTGTTCTCTGCTGCACGTTGCAAATCCACAAGGGGCTTTTGTTGGAGCCTCAACAGCTGGGCCCACCTGCAAGGAAATCCTCAGGAGGGGCAGCTCTGCCTGCTCGGCCTCCCAGCTCCCCTGTGGGCTCATCCCTGCAGCACACGCAGCCCCAGCCACCCTAACACAGGAGCCTTCAACAAGAGGGCTGAGAGGATGAGCTAATCATCTTTTAATGATTTGTAAATAAACAAGGAAAGCATCATGCCACAAGCTGATTTCTCGTTTTTAATTGAATTCCAACTGCTGTGCATTTGAGTTTTGCTACTGGGGACAGCCAGTCATTTCAGTACCCAATTTTGCTTGTAGTGATGGTGTTTATTTTTGAATCAGAGCTAAAAGTTCTTAACATCATTTCACACAGAAACAAAATGAATCATTTCTGCTCCTCAATGCAGATAACCACCATTTATTTCTCTGTGAACAGTAACAATCTGCAGCTTATTTATGATGAGCAAAAAAAGGAACCCATTTTTATCTCATTGTAGATCATTTTTAGAAAGCAGCAAAGATTTGGAACCATGATCCTGAACCTAAATCCATTCTATGTGTGCACTCAAATATTAAAATGTGACCATGTGAAAAGCGTAAGGCAGACATAAATATAAATAAAATATAAATATAAAATATGGAATAGACAGGATTTTACACTCAGATCTCAGCTCTAATTGTTTGCACAGACTCCAAGCTAAGGTACTCCTGAAACGACATCCTTCAATGAACTCAGCCTGTTCCTAGAGAGCAGCAAGGCTGCCAATCCCCAGGAATGAATCATTCCAAAACTCACAACATAAACCTATTAGCTGGTCAGGGTGCCACAAGTAGAACCAGGGAACAAAACACTGATTATTCACCACAGCACAAACGTACCACAGGAAATAAAAAAATACACCAGGTGCCAAAGGAGCACAAACAGCTCCTTCATCATTTACCTGGAGAGGTCATTGGCAGCCAGAGGGAGAGCAGGGTTAATAATCAACTTTAAGAAAGGCAATACTTAAAAGAAAAGCTTGATGGCAAAGGGGCTGGACAGGATTTCACATCCCCCTGCCTTCTAATGGAAAGCTGCCCCTGAATTTCCCAAAGCAAAGCCCTTGGAGCTGTAAACAGTTCCTCTATTTCCCAGGTAAACTGAACCCAAATGACTTAAACTGGAACTGATTCATGATTCCCTGACAAAGCCTTGGCAAACTCTGCACACATCACTCCAGGTCCACCTCCTACAGGCTCTTGGCAATTAGGGACCTGTAAAAACTCCTTCCAAAGTGATCCAGTTATTTCCAAAATGAGTTTAATTAATTGGGTTCAGTACAGAAACCATTAAAAGGATTTAAACAACTTTTGAGTCTGGTGGTTTGCTTAGGGGAGGAAGTCAGCCTTGGCCTATCCCCTCAATGTTATTTTTAACTGCTAAGTGTGATGCATGAATGGAGGGAAAAAGAAAAACAAAACAAAAAAAAACCAACCAAAGAGTGGATTTTTGTAAGGGCAAATATCTGTTCACCATCTTTATAATTATTTTGGTAGACAAACAGATTTCCCCCCAGATTCCTGGAAAAGATTTGATAAATTACCCGTAACAAATCTGTTGATGATGGCCTTTCCTGAGGTATTTTCTGTAAGCAGTAATCAACAAATCCCCTAAAGGAGTCTGTCCTGCAAAATCAAAAAATAAAATAAAATAAAATTTTAAAAAATTAAATTAAAAAAAAGAAGCTCAGGATCTGGAATATATTCAGATTTATCAGTGTAAGGCAAAAGAAAAATGTTAACTGATTTGTTCTTAAGCTCTAAGGCAGAGAAAGTAATTGAGTTTTTCCAAAATCCAAGTTGATCTCATCAATTCTTTCACAATTAAAGGCTGTTGAAACAACATGGACACACAACTATCCCGAAGCACAAATTGAAAACCAAGAGAGAACTACATGTACCAGTCACTATTTCTGATTTTACTTCAACTGCTTACAAACAGAGAACAGTGGAATTATTGGGAACTCCAGAAATGCACTCGCTGATCTCTGGGAGTCACAGAGGGAACCCTGCCTCAATGCTCAGTTCAACACTTGAGGCTTTATTTGAGGTTTTATCCCAGCTGGAAAGAAGGAAACTGATTTTTGTGGACTCAAAAGGAGCAGAAAGGCACCTTGGTGACTCCTAGGGAGCAAACAGGGCACTGTAAACAAGGCCTTGCAATGCTGAACACTGATGTGGGGCTGAGTTTATCCACAGCTGCCTCTGCTCTGCAAATCCTGCACAGAACATGGGGACCACACTGCAGGCAGCAGAGCAACCCCCTGGAACCCTGAAAAATGGGCAAAACAGAGAGGATGAAAGAAGGAAACTGGAGTGGGCTCGATACAACGATCAACAATCAAACAGTTGTGCTGCTCAAATGGCCAGCAGAGAAATGGGGGAACTCCACACCTCAGCAGGAGCTTCTGTTTCATTCCTTCTGCAGCCTCTGCCAAGCATCACCCAACAGCAACACCAACATTCCAGGCCTGGGAACTGGGAACCCACAGAATAACCAAGGGTTCTTGCACCCAAGCCTGGAGCACAGGGAGCATTCACTGGCCACAGAGCTCTGAGGGTTTCTGGAGTCCTCCACTGACAAAAATATCCAATTACCTCCACATTCTCCTCCCTTTCTCCACATTGCAGCTGCACAGCAATGCTAACAACCCTTCTGCCAAGAGATCTTTGGGAGCTGGAAACTTTGCTGATGCTCAGCCATGGCTGGTTTAACACATCTGACAGTACTTTAATTCCAACAGCAGCTAGAATTAACCCCAGAATTAACACCTCCACACTTTTAGATTGCGGAACAGCCAGAATGACAGAAGGTCAGAACTGAGCTAGCATACACAGGATTTGAGAACACACACAAATCACTGCACTGCAGCCAACATGTTCATTGTCAGGCCTGAACTGTGCAGTGTCACAGGGCATTTTCAGGGCAATAAACAACAAAAATCAGCTGTTAATGGTTCTCTTACCATTCATTTGATTGTAACCTAGGGGAATCGTTCTGGGCTATGTGATATAAGGCACTCATTGCATTCATGTTGAAAAGTGGAGGCTTCCTTTCAGCTGGAAAGAGAAAAGAACAGAAAGGTGTGATAAGGCTGTCTGGAAAGAAAGGAGAAATGAAGTATGAGCAGAGTATCACTGCTAAACCAATACCTAGTGCTGTTGACATCACATTTAGGCCAATTATTTTAATATTCCAAGTTAGACCAGGACATCCACTCAAGGAAAGCTGCTGTTCACTTGGAGAGAGATGACAAAATCCAAAGAGAGCGGGATACAAAATATAAGGAAAAGTCTGCAGTAAATTTTACTTTAACTGCAACATCTCACACCTGACCTGCTGTGGCAAAATCAGCTGAAACTGAGTAAAACTAATCTCAGGCACAGTTCAGGGCCAGGACACGCTGTGTCAGTCCCCACAGATGTTGGATGCACTGCTGGAACATGTGGATCACAGGAAAAAGTGTCTGCCTGCCTCATTTGTCACTGCAAGGGGGACAGGTTACCCCATTCACTGGCCAGGTGTGCCATGAACTCCCTCTCACTGAAATCTTTTCCATCCTTGCACCCAGAGAGCCCCTGGCCAGCAGCCCCTGATCTCTCAGGAGGGCAGAACTCTCAGTTCTGGGGGAGCCTGGTTCTCCCCAGGGTCAGTGGTGCCAGATTTCTCAGTTCTTTCAGGCCAGAGCCTTTGCCATGCAGGCAAAGCACCACATCTGCTTTTCCTGAATCACTACTCACTTCAGCTACACCAGGAATTAAGGCATCAGCATTCAAAGAAAGCCAAGGGCTGCTCAACAAGAGATCTCCTCCCTCTGCTGCCTGAGCTCGTGCTCACACAGGGGACCATGCAAAGTTGGAAGTTTAAAAAAGTTTAATGCTTCTCAAAAAGGTATTTTTAAAGAAAGCAAATCCATCATCTTTGGGGTTCCTGAGTCAAAAGCTCCACAGAAATGCTGGTACCAAGACTACAGAGGGTGCAGAGCCTCTCCTGCTGCTGTGATTTGCTCCTTGGGAGGCTGTGGCACACCTGAACTCCACACAAACAAAAATCATTGACCATGCACAACAACAAAAGCCTAAAACTTCCAATTCTGGCATTCTTTATGGCAAAACAGACTGTGTCAGCATGCTGGCACATGAAATACAGCCATGTTAGTTCTGGTTATCTACACCATCTCAATTCTGGAGACAGCACTTCTGCACATCCCCCTCTTTGTTATCAGCACATTTCTGCTGATTAAACATTCACCAATGACATTGTCAGTGAACTCACCCACACAATAAATTATTGGTGTACTGCTGTTAAATAGAATCCATATCAAGACTGATTTTTGAAAATAATCTACTCAGCACATGCAGTGTCAATACTCAAACTTGAAACACACGCTTAGAGTCTGCTCTGTGTACCTGCCACCACATCCACCTCTGCTCCAGCCTCTGTGGATGTGCATCTTTTGCCCTCTGAAGTGCAAACCCTTTTCTCCTCTTCCCATAAAGAACCTGTCCACGATGATTCATGGCACAAACTTTTCAGCTGAGGGTGAAGACTTTTGTTTCAGAGAGCAGGGAAGTAAGAAGAATTGCAAATTAAATGTAGGTCCCTTCTGACACACAATATTTAGGTCTCTTGGCACAACAGCTGGGACAACTTTCACTGAGTGCAGCTTGGAAAGCACAGGTGACAAACCATGGTTTGCTCTCACTCAAGAGCAAAGTGCTCTGGCTCTCCAGGGAATAACTGAGCACACCAGACTGACATGAAAGCACAGCATCAGTGATTTGCCAGCAGAAAAAGATTGAACTCAACTGCAGGGTGCTCCAAGTCATTTTAAAAGTGAAAACTGATGAGGAATAAGGATCTTCTCATTTTGCAGGACTTCCTAACACACTGCAGAGTTAATTACCCATCTCAGCTGCGTATTGACTCACCTAACTCGATGCATGTGATCCCCAGGGACCAAACATCCACCTTGCCATCGTACTGCCCCTCGTCCATCGCCAGGATCACCTCTGGTGCCATCCTGCAAGCACAGAGCAAAGGCTGAGTCAGGGACACACAGGGACACACAGGGACACAACCTGAGGTGGCTCCAGCCCCTGAGCAGAGGCACAGACCAGCAGAGACAGCAGGGAGATGAGGAGGAGTGTGGAATGGAACAGGCACTGACCACAGCAGCAACTTGTCACAGGAGGGGGGAGAAGCAAAAGAGGAAAGCAGGGAGAAAAAAGAGGAATAGGGGGAAAAGTGAAAGAGGAAAGAGGGGAGAAAAAAAACAGGAAAGGGGCGGAGAAATAAAAGGGGGAAGGAGAGAAAAAAATAGGAAAGGGGGATAAAGCAAAAGAGGAAAGGAGGAGAGGAAAGAAGGGGAAAGGGGGAAGAGGAAAGAAGGGGGAAAAGGGGGAAGAAAAAAAAGAAAGGGGGGGAAGTGAAAGAGGGAGAGAAAAGAAAGGGAAAAGGGGGGAGGAAAAAAGGGGAAAAGGGGGGAGGAAAAACGGGGAAAAGGGGGGAGGAAAAAAGGGGAAAAGGGGGGAGGAAAAACGGGGAAAAGGGGGGAGGAAAAAAGGGGAAAAGGGGGGTAGTTCCAAAGGCATTGTAGCTGCAGGCTGACAGCCAGGGCTGGGAGAGCCCTACAGGCACCCCCTGCACCCTCCCCCAAGCTGCCCCTTGGCACACCAGGAGCATTTCCAGCAGGCAAACGCAGCCTGTGGGAGCTGGAACAGGGAAACTGGGAACAGTGGTGGTCCAGGATAAAGGGATGAAGTGGGGACAGAGAAGCAGCAGGCCTAGCCTGCAAAAATTCAGCCTCTTAAATTGTGTTCTTCCTAAAAAAGGCTTCCTGCCAAACGGCCTCATTCCAAGGCTGGGCCATGGTGACCTCCCAGCCCTGCCTGGGGCCTCTGCCACAAAACCAGTGGAGCATGGAGCTGTGCTGGTCCTCAGTGCTGGGAATGCCAAGGAACTCGGGTGACCCCTCAGCAATTCCTTCAGAACAGGACTGAAGTAGCTGTGTGACTTCCAGTCAGAATAACAGGATCCCCTTTCTCCATGAAGGCCTCAGTCCCATCACCTGGGGCAAGTGTGAGGCATTTTTAATCCCCTTTCTCCATGAATGCCTCAATCCCATCATCTGGGGCAAGTGTGAGGTATTTTTAAGCCAATGGCACTGCAAGAGCGGAGCCATTTCCAAGCACTGCACGGCCCAAACCTCTCCTTATGGACCCTGAGCAAGGACAGACTTCCTGAAGATCTGGACACAGGCAATTCAGGAAAACTGCCTGGCTGTTTTATTCAGGTATTGTTATTGAATTGTGAAGCACTGGAAAGGGAAGAGAGCAGATAAAGGACTGAAGCACTGCAGGCTTCACTCACCAGTAAGGCGTTCCCACAAAAGAGTTGGCAGGGGACACTATAGATGCAGACCCAAAATCAGCGAGTTTCACTTGACCTGGTTCTGTTAGAAGAATATTTCCAGCTTTAATATCCCTTTAAGAGAGAAAAAAAAAAAAGAGGAAAAAGAAGTAATTCAGCATGATGCAAACTCTGGTGAGATGCCTTTGTCTGCAATTTGTAATGCTGGGACAGAGACAGAGAGGAATTCACTGAGAGTGTAACCTCTGTTCCCCCATTCCCTGGGCAGCACTGCTTCAAAAGTAATTTTATGGAATATTTCACCCACAAGTGCTACATCCCAACACTTTTGCTGCAGGACAAGTGCTGAAGTCTTGTGTGTGCAAGAATGAACACCTCAAAGTACAAGAGCGACAGCACAGGCTGTCCCCTTCGCTGTCACCCTCCCTGTACAACAGCCAAAGGGATGGAGCACCTCTGCCACAAGGAAAGGCTGAGAAAACTGGAATTGTTCAGCCTGGAAAGAAAAAGGCTTCAGGGTGACCTAATTGTGGCCTTTCAGCACTCCAGAAAGATGGGGAAGGATTTATTCCCTATCACAAGGGATGGAGGAACAGGACACAAGGAATGGCTTCCTACTGACAGAGAGCAGGTTAGATGGGAAATTATGAAGGAATCCTTCCCTATAAGGATGATGAGGCCCTGGCACAGGGTGCCCAGAGCAGCTGTGGCTGCTCCTGGATCCCTGGAAGTGTCCAAGGCCAGGCTGGACAGGACTTGAAGCCACCAGGGACAGTGGAAGGTGTCCCTGCCATGGATGAGGTGGCATTGGAAGAACTTTAAAGTCCCTTCCAAACCAAACCATGCTGTGATTCTATACCACGGCTGAACAGCCACATCAGGTATCAGCAACATATCTGCCAGCCTTGAATTAAATAATATTTTAATTATTATTCATATTAAATTTAAAAAATTAATAATAATGTTATAATAATTTTATACTACTTCAATAATAATTAACGACAATTTAATAATAATTTTAATTGCAATTAAATAATAAAAACGCAAGAATTCCCTCCTTTTCCACGCGCGATCAGCCGCGCGGGGGCTGCAGTGCCGCCCCCTCGCCACCAGGTGGCGCCCCAGCGCCAGGTCCCCGTGCGGGGCCGGACCCGCGGGACCCAACCCCAAAATTGGGTCCCCCAACCCCAAAATTGGGTCCCCAACACCAAAATTGGGTCCCCAACACCAAAATCCGATCCCCACACCAAAATTCTGCCCCTTCTGCCCTGTCCTCGCCGTTGCCCCTGGCAGAGGCAGCTGTCGCTGGGGCTGTGGCAGCAGCACGGCGCTGCTCCCCGCCCAGGCAGGGCTCGCCCTCCCGCCTGTCCCCTTCTGTCGCAGCAGCCACAGAGCAGGGATGTGTCGCTGCCGCTCATTTCTGGCTGAGCAGATTGAGCTCCCCAGCTCAGCAGGGAAAAGCTGGAATTCCCTTTGTACCCTCTGCATGAAATCCAGGCCACTGAAGCACAGCATAGCTGGGGCTGGAAGGGACCTCTGGAGATCACCCAGTGGAACCCCTCTGGAGCAGTGACACAGGAACGTGGCCAGGTGGGGTTGGAATGTCCCCAGAGAGGGAAAATCCACATCCTCCGTGAGCAGCTGCTCCAGGGCTCTGCCACCTTCCATGGAAAAGTGCTTGGATTTCTCCTCAGGCAGTTTTATACCTGACTTACACTTCCACCACCTAATTGTGATTCCATCACACCTCTGTGACCTCCCTGCTACCAAAAACCAAGCTGTGCAAAACCAATACAGTTTTACTTATTCACATGTAAACATGACAAATTATCTAGTCTTAGAAACAGTCTAGCTCAGTGAACTTCAATTTATTTGGCACATTTAGGATGATTTTCTCCTATCAGTGTTCAGTACAACATTCCTGGGCAGCCTTTGTTACCAGGGTCTGCACAGAGCAATTGCCAACAAGGCAGAGAAAACGCTGGTAGAATAACTTTTTCCCAAGTTGTTAGAATGAGTTTCTCAGCAGCTTTGAGACTCCAGGGAGCAGCAGATGGAAGGGCAGCAGCAGCTGCAGCCTCACCTGTGGATCCTACAGTGGGAGTGCAGGTAGGCCAGCCCCTGCAAGGCACCGTGGGTGATGGCAGCAATCTCCACTTCCTGGAGTGGCTTCTTGTGAACTACAGGGGGAAAAAAGCAAGAAAATAAAACAAAACAGAAGAAAATAAATGGGATATTTTCCTGAGAAAGTGTTTTTTAAAGAAAGGAATCCCACCAATCTTCTACAAAGAGAAATTAGGGAAGGACGTGGACTGTGATCCTGGCCCCCAAGGAACGCTAATTTTTGTAAACTTTGGCTCTGATTTCCTATTTTGACTTAGATTCCCCTTTTTCTTTGCAGATGCTGTTCCATTGTTGAGGTGACATCAACCTCCTGTTCTAAAACCCATGTATAATTTTTCCTGCACACTTGTGATCTCTGCAGGATTTTATTATGGATATTCCAAAAACAGACACCCTAAAAAGGCACAGATTACTGGAATATACCTGTACACTTTTACACCTTCATTTGATAAAATTAAAATGTGCATGCCAACTATCTGTAGCACTGGGAAAGCCTCAAATTGTTCCTAGAGAATGGAGCAGGACAGACAGAGCATCTGCAAAACTCCACTCCCATCAAACTCAGGTGGGGGGCACTGGCAAAAAGAAAATCCAAGATATATCAAACTTACCTTCTAGTAAATCAGAAGCTGATCCTAAACAGTACTCCATAACCAACTGCAAAAAAAGAGAACATCATGCCTTCAGGTATCTCTGGAAGCATTTTGAAATTAGGAAACATCTTTACATTCCAAATTTAAATAGCATGGTGGCTTTAACGCCCTGATTAAGGAACAAAAAAAAAGTAGTAGGTTTTGCTAGCTTTCCATCAGAAGATGCAAAATTTGACTTTATTTTAGTGTTGTTCAAAGCTATTTCAGAGCCTGTGCTGAGGGTTTGAGTGCTGCAATGTCCATTTGCTCCACAAGCCCTCACTCACCCATGCTGTGTGCTCCTTCAGGTAACAGCCCTTGTACTCTATGGTGTTGGGGTGCTTCAGCTGCTGCAGAAACTTGACTTCTTTGATGATATCCTGCCATTTCTAATGAAAAAACAAAGCAGAAAGTATAAATACATTTCTCTTCTCAATCCTCTACATCCTTTCATGTACCCCACACAGTCTGAGAAGCAACCATAAAACTATTTTACAATATGAAGACGGAAAGTCAGTGTTGCAAAAGCAGAGCTGTAAAGCAGTTGTCTGGGTCTCTCCTGCACTGGGATACCCCCTAAGATATATTTAACAGCTTGAGGATTGCCAAAATAATTTTCTTCCTCATTTTAACTGCAATACATTTCACTTAAATGCTGCTGCTTTGCAAATTGAAGTGTTCAGTGGACTCAAAGTTAGTCAGAAACCACAGAGAGTAGCAGTGAGCTGCTCACCTTCTGTAACACAGCACAAAACCACTGACATTTGGGAGAAAAAGCAAGGAAAAATGAGTTTAAACCAGCCCTGTTTGCTCTTAACAAACAAACACACCCTGCACATCCACACACCATCCAAAGGATCAGTGGGTCCAAGCTCCACACAAAATAAGAGGAACCATTAACACAAAAACTGAAATGAGACTGAGATTAGCAGCTCTTTGCAATTTGATAGATCCTCAAGAATTTCAGAGAGATGTGCTCTTAACACACTTCTTAATACAAATATTTCTGAAACAAGCCCCATCCAGGCATTCTGAATCCCCACTCACTTCCTTCAACCGAACAATTTATCAAAATTTGCATAAACTCATTTTCTCTCTGCAAACCTCCACGATTCCCATGGAAGGGAGCATTAAAAGCTGTTCTGCTGGGGTCAAACCAGAGCTGCAGCTCATTCCACCGCTCCCATTTCCACATTTCACATTTCCACAGCTCCTGAATGCACGGCTGCCTTTATTCCCCTCACCTCATTTGTTTGCTTTCCACTGTAGGACATCTTCTTGACTGCCACCACCTCATTAGTGTGGGAATTCGTAGCCTGGAGTAGGGAAAGAGAAACATTGGAAAAAAGCAAAAAATAGACTGAAAAAAGCTTCATTTTTTCCCCCCTCCCCACAGAGTGAGCTGTGCCTATGGCAAATGCAGCTTTTTTCTCCTATATCCTTGCAAGCTCCTGCATCTCAGAGACATCTTCCTCAGGATATGATTTACCACACAACTCTCAGGAGACTTTCCCCTGACCATATCCACTGTTCCTTCTCTATTGATATGCAAAAGGCCCAATATTGCACCTATTGAGAAGCCTCAAAATCCAGTTCTATTGGAATTACAGTAGAAACAGTTTTAGATGAACATTTGGCAAAATATTTGCCACAGAAACAAACAAAGAGGTGTATCAAAATCTCCATGATTTCATCCAAAAATTCCATAGAACGCTGACATTCTTAAATAGTTATTGCAATTTCCAGCTTCAAGATGATTCAACCTGGAATTTATCTAAATTTAAAAGCTTTCCTTTCACTGCACTAGACCTTAGCTGTGTGATGAAGATTATGCAGCCATCAAAATTCCACTTTTCTGCTTGGATGATGCAGGGATGGTAATTAGAGGCTAAAAACTCAGGTTTGGAAAGATCTCTCCTTGCCTGGACTGGCACTGCCCTCATTTCTGCTTGTTAAGGGTAAAAAACATCAAGCTTTTGGTCTTAAAACAGTTGCTGAAATCTCTGTACCTCCAACCATTTTTTGGGACAAAAAAAAAAAAATTAGTGACAGTTTAAAGCTTAAACTATAATAGAAGCTAAATGTGGTAAATCCTCCTTTCAAGGAATGTATTAACTAATGACATTTTTTTGAGGCATGTGAGGACTTCAAAGAAAAACTGTGTTGAGTGAACCAGTGGGGCACAGGAATTACTGAAGGGAGGTGGCACAGGCCCCTCACAGCTCAAATGAGGCAGAGAAAGCTGAAAATGAGAAACTCTGGGATAAGGCAAAGCCCTTCCCCAGCACCTGCCACCCTGATTCAGCACAGAGGAGATCAGGAGAGTTTCACTCAGATGTATTTATGCTTTTTTCTGCCTGTCACATCAACACCAAGCAGCTCCACCTGGCCATGGTGTGTGTCCGTCCAGCTGGGATTTGTCACTGAAGGACACACTGCCACCTTCCCTTCCAGAGCTTGGGATGCTCCTGGCTGAGACAATTCCAGGGCTGTGTGAGCACACCTGGGAACAGCCACTTGCTGAGGCCTGTTTGACATGATACCTTGACAAATTTTATTTTTATCCCTCAAAATACACATGAAATACTTATAGTACACAAAATTTAAGGTTCCTCTCTTCACCAACACCTCCATCACTTCACACAACTCCAAACAGTGAATGCTGGAATGCTTAAAATAACTTATATTAGGTTATAATAAGAGCTAGATGTGTCAGGGATCTAATCTTAATACTTTGCTGTCTGATATTCAGAAATCCAGCTCCAGTGAACCTGATCCTCCTGTGTGGCTGACCATGGTTCCAAGCAGCTTTAATTTGGCTTTAACTGATTTTTTTCAATATTGATTCTACTTCAGTCTCACTAATGCCAACTGGATTATAATTATTTCCAATTCCAGTATTTTGGTTTTGGCTTTGTTTGATACCAACTGTAAAACCACCATTTTTCTCATTTCCAGATTAAATGAGATGTGTATCAATGAATGCCATACATCCATCCTGTGTGAATTCCCATTCCTCTGAGGAACTCTTTGATTTTGCCATAAAGGAGCTTGTAGAGATTTCCAAACATACAAACTCCAAGCATCTTGAAATTCCAGTTTGGCAAATTAATTTTCAGCTGTTTAAATTCAACTTTCAGCATCAAACACCATATACTTGACCTGGATAGTTTGGTGCACTATTAACACTAAAGTAAACTGCTACTACAAATATGTGGCACACACATTCTCTGAAAAAATCCCTTTGCCCAGGATTTTTCCCCTGGGAAGCTGAGAAGCCTCTGAGAAAAGGAAAAGAGGAAAAGAGTTCTTATCTCATTTGCTTCTCCTGTGTTATGCTCATGTGGAATGTGTTTGGAGATTGTTTCACTGGATTCTGGTGTGAATTATTTGACTCATTGGACAATCAGGGCCAAGCTGTGTCAGGACTCTGGAAAGAGTCATGAGTTTTCATTATTATCTTTTTAGCATTCTGTAAGTATCCTTTCTGTATTCTTTAGTATAGTATAGTATTATTATAATACAGTATCATAAAGTAATAAATGAGCCTTCTGAGAACATAGAGTCAGACGCATCATATATATATATATATATATCTATGTATATATATGTATATCAATACAGGTGGAACATTCAAGAGATCAGGAGTGGTTTGGTAACACCTTTTTGAGATGTGTTATCACAAAACTAAAGCACACAAAGCACTAAAAACTCAAGGAACACCTCCTTCTACAAATGCTCAAAAAGCCTCCAAAACACTTAAAATTATTCTGTTCTCCAAAAAAAGAACCAACTCTACTTACAAAGTAAACTGCTCCAAAGCTTCCATGTCCAATTTCGTGCAAGCCCACGAAGATTTCCTCAGGATCATCCTTGTAGAAGAGATCAGCAATCTCCGGGTCCTTTGGCACCCCTTTGCGCATGGTGAGGCGTGTCAGGAACTCTCTGTGCTCTCCAGTCCCAGCCAACTCCTGCCCTCATCCACAAAGCCCTTTGCAGACAGCTCTCAGCACCTGCTGGCAAAGTTCATCTTTAATCTGCTTCCCCTGCACGTGGCTCTGTTCACACTTCTGTCACAGCCACGCCAGAGGAAACACTTCCAGCAGCAACAGCCTTCACCATTGCTTCCTCCCCCCAGCTAATTGTTTTTAATTATTACTCCTATTTAGATAGAGAGATTAAAACGCATTCAGGATACAACAGCTCTTTATCTCACACAGGAAGCAAGTGCTGCAGTGACACTGAAGTCCACTTGAATTCAAGAGTCCTGTTGCTATGCAAAACATCCTGTGACAGGAGTTTGTTATTCTTCACGCCAGGCTCCCAGTGTGGCAGTTTTTAGACTCTCTCTGTTGTTCCTCCTACTTTCCTGGGCTGTTTGCTTTGTTTCTCTACTCCCAACTGCCAGCTGGTGCTGGTGGAAAAGTCAGCTGCTATTCCACAGCAACACTTTGCAGCCCTGTAATTGTTATTTCTCATTTATTTACTCAGAGCTGCATGACAGCCAGTGCTGTTGGATTGTGATTGCTCCCAGCACATGGAATTGCTTTTGAAGAATCCTAAACTCCATCTATAGGGCACATCTTTGCCTCCCTAACTTCTTCAGTTCTTCCTTAGCACAGAACTGTGCTGCATCTAAATGAAGACTTGCAGTATTCATCCCCAAAAGTTTATTTGTGAGGAAAGGAAAAAAAAAAACCACAAAAAAAAAAGAGGAAGAAACATCCTAGTATCAGGAAGTTTTCAATTTTTTAACAAAACATCTTGAAAAATCTGCATTGACTCATTAAATACTCATATGCAAAGCACTGATGGGGGCCTTTACTCATCTGCTTTTGGCAGAAAATGCAGCAGAGGAGCTGCACTGAGTCACTTGGAGCAGTTTCCATCAGTCTGGAGGTACTTTCACACCTGTGGTCAGCACCTCCTTCACTGAGGCCACATTTTGTCTGTGCACAACAAACTCCTGCAAACACACATCAGGACCTTCAGCTATACCTAAACCAGGGCAACATTTACTGGAATACCAGCTGAAATGTAACAATCAGATTAATTTTAAACTAAAACACACACAGAAAAGGCTTTAGAAGGTTTTGGAGTTCAAGTGCCATCTGGATGAAAGCAGAATTTTGGCCTGGCTGAGGGTCAGTGATGGAGCAAGGAGAGGGGCAGTGAGAGGAGCTCACCTGGATAGCTGTGGCACCAACCATGCTCCGTGGCTCACATTCCTTCCAGCAGCATTGTCCTGTCCCAGCCCTCCAGAATCTCCTACTCTGCAAAGAAAAACAAGGAACTGGATTTAGATACATGACTTTGAAGTTTTACACCTTCTTCTAACACACAAAACCACCACATCCACTAAAGGCCAGCGATCACAGGGGAAGCACAAGGAGAACTGGCTGAGAATGCTGATGGGGGGCCTTTAGGTGAGGATAAGCATTTCCTATACTCCAAAGCCCTTGGACTGTACAGCACTGGAGGACAGAAAACCATGAAAAGAGGTTAAATGGCTTTTATAAAGACTCTTAAGCTTGCTAGGGCACAGGAAGTTCCCCCTCAGACTCTTCTTTTTAGATAATTTATAAAAGGGAGAAAAAGCTCAGAAAAAAATCCCCATCCCTGGCAGTGTCCAAGGCCAGGCTGGACAGGGCTGGGAGCAGCCTGGGACAGTGGGAGGTGTCCCTGCCATGGCAGGGGTGGCACTGGATGGGCTGAGGTCCTTCCAAGCCAAACCATGCCATGATTCTGCCAGAAGCTGACAAGGCTGTGTCCATTACTCGAGTCTCTGAGTTCTGCCTGGTGACACAGGAGGCTCCAGGGAAAGCCCTGGGCATCAGGAAGTCAAACACTGCTGGATTCCAGCAGGGAGAGGATGAGCAATGAAAAGATGGAAAAGGAGCAGCAGCCCCAGCAGCTGCCATCAGGTCACAGTGAGGGATGGCCCCACTGCCATGGGTGTAGGGATACCCCCAAAGAGCCACTGCTGTCCCCACACAGGGAGAGCTGGGAATAGCCTGAGCTCATGGAAAATGTTATCCTGGAGCTACATGCACAGCAGAAATGCTTCCCAGTTAAACACAGTGCAACAGTTACATTGCCAAAATCTGAATTAATAGGCACCTGATTTAATGACACACGAACTCATGCTCTCCTTTATTAGGGAAAAAATAAATGAGCAGGAATCTTTCTGTTAATAGCTAACATTACCAAAAATGTTATTTCTGTTACTTTATCTCACCACAGGCCAATAGAATCAAGCTGTTAGAAGGCTATTTGAAGAGCACCAAAAAAAGGTTCTGCACTGTTTTGCTTTAAAAAAAAAAATAACTCAAGTATAAACAAAGCCAGATGAATGAAATGCTTATTCATTTTCAGCTGATTGGCCTCACCCAAAGGTGCTATATTTACTACAGTCCTGCAGACAGGGCAAAGAATGCAGTATTTCAGGTCTGGCATTCTTCAGCCAACAAAAAAATCCATTTGGCTTTAAAAAAAAATAAAAACAAACTGATGGAGAAAACAGTTTATCCATCTCCAGTCAAACGAACCTCTCTGCCATTAACAAAGGCTGTGCAGCTCCACTATTCAAGGTATTTAAAATGGGAGGCTAAATGTCAATACTTAGAGTTAAGCCCTAAGTAATAATGTCATTTTCCAATTAGGGCAGACACGAGTAGTGAGGCAAGTAAATCTTGCTGGTAAATCTGCTCAGCAGGGCTATTATTTCCCAGTAATGAAAACCTAAAAACTTAGGGTGGAAAGTGAATCAACAGCAACCTGAGTTGTGCTGATTGAACACAGAGTGATCCACAGGACCCCACAAACCCTGAGAGCCCTCTGCAGACACCAGCACAGCACCAGAGGCACAGCTTGGGTCCTGGGCAGTGTAAAACACCACAGATACACATCACAGCTCTTCGTTTGGCTGGCAAGGTCACAAATATTAACAACCTAACTCTCCTGTAGATATGGAGATTGAAATAAGAATGGTTTAAATCAAGGCAGAGCACTGTAAGAGCTGAGTGCCATTAGGAGAAAAAACTTAAGTTCAAGGTATGGCAAATTTGAGCAGGTCCTTTTCATTACCAAAGTGCTGAATTAATACATTGAGAAACAATTTCTGTTAGAAGCTGATTTCTGCTTTTCATCCTTGTAAAGCATCATCACAGACTCTGCATGTCCTGAAGACCCCAGAAGGAAAGATCAATAATCACACTGGCTGTGACTTAGGGGAGTGACAAGTGACTCAAGATTTTGAGGGTTTGGGAGATCAGGACTCTGTTCAGACAGCAGAGTTCCCTCAATGCTAAGCAACTCTCCCATTTAAAAACCATGAATTAACTACTTTTGATACACAAAGGTTCTCTCCTACCACTTAAAACTTCCAGGTGCTGTCTTAATACCAACAAAAAACACCTTGACCTGAAAATAAGAACAAAACACAACTGGAAGCATTTTTAAGAGCTAAACTGACATTTCCAAATAATCCATGGATCTAAAATTATGCCAGTCAATGAGATAAACTTGAGAACTCAGAGTGTGTGGCTTGTGAAAACCCAGTTTGAACTGCATCTCACAGCACCATAGGGCTGTTTCAAATGTGCCCAGAAACTCACAAAATTAATTTTAGTTCCTAACTACACCAGGGTACTTCCCAAAACAAGGACAAAGTTTTCCACTCCATGCAGAAAAACAAACTACAGGAAACAGGGTGGACCAGCAGCAGATTCCACTCAGAGGAGGAGCAACATGACATGGCTCATGCACCCATTTTTAGATGCCTATTTTGAGGGGAATAAATTCACACCAGAATTATTTTCCCAAGAATGGCAAGCACAGAGCCCCATTTCATCACTTCAGTTTCTCCAAAACCCGGAACACAACGTAAAGAAGGGAATTCTGAGGTAAATTCAGCTGATAACTGAGTAAGAAACCTTTTGAGCTTGAAGTAAGGAAGGTGCTCAAGTTTCCCCTGCAGACCCCACCCACAAAGTGACACGGTTTTGTTGGTTTGATTTGGGCAGGTTTTGTGCTGTTTTTGAGAAGCTGGAGCTCTTCCCCTTCCCTTTAATTGGTACATATGGCTGCCTGGCCAGGCCAAACACAAACACATCATCCTGGCCTGATTCCCTCACATGAAGACCACAACCTTGGATGAAGAAGCTTTTTGGAGAACATCTGGAACTCCACATCTTAAGCTGTTCAGTGTAATTTCTTTTGGTTGTTAAGATTATCTTGCCCAGCTAACCTGATGCAAGTGAACACAACATTTGTGGTTTTTTCCAGGCATTTCACCCATTTTAATGCTTAAACCAGGCAGATTCACATACCTGGCACAGAAACTCAAATTATGAACAGAGCACACAAAAAGCATCTCTACTACAGCCTTTGTTTGCTCAATTAATCACCAATCCAAGACACTCAGCAAAGATTTCACTCTGCTCCAGAAGCAGCAAGTCCTCTCACGTCCTTCCCTCAGATTTCTGTGAAGCAAAATGATTCACCTGGGGTGGAAGTGAATGAACAGAAGGTACCCGGTGACCTTCAGCAGAAGGACAAATATTGCTGAGCATTTGGGGCTCTGCAGGCACCAGGGCAAGGCCCTGAGGGCACAGAGCAGGAGGAGCAGGCTCAGGACACGGGGACACAGCCAGGAGGGCTGGACAGGCTGACCACAAGCACAGCAGCACTCCTCAAACACCACCTCCAGTGATGGTTTTCCAAGGAATAACTCCCCAGAACACCCAGGCTGATGGCACCCCCGTTCCTGCAAACATCTGGGTGCAGGCACAGCTGTTCAGCACCTCCAGAAGTGCAGCAATTCCCCTTTGGAGCGTTGGCTCTGCAGCGCACCTGGAATTCCATCCCAGGGCTGTGCTTGGGGGTCAGGGCAGAGCTCGTGTGTGCATCAGGTCATGAGGAGTTCACACATTACTCATGCTAATAAAACCCTGAATCACAACTGTTCTGACCCAGGCCACTGCTGCACGCTGCCCCTGGGGGATGAAATCCAGCTAATAACTTGCAGGGCTTGTTGGAGATAAATGCCTTCACAAAAACAGCTTTATTTCCTGATGAGGAGCAGTAGTTTTAAAGGAAACATTCAGTTTATACTTCCCCTAAGACCACCATTTATACAGCAAAAGACAATAAACTCGTTAAAAATTAAAATAAGACAACCTTATTTAAAAAAAAATAAAATAATAAGATCAGTGGGCTTAAATTCAAGAAACAATCAGTTTTAGTCATCAGGAATGTTTCAACAAGTATGAAATCAAGCCACAGGCCAGCCCTCCCCAAAGGAATAGTCCCAGTTGTGCTCTGAAATTCCACTGTTTGCTCAATATGTATAATCACAGCTACCCCAAACCATGGGCTACAGCCTGGGCTTCAGTTTAAAAGTCAAATAGCAACATTCTCACAATAGACATGTAATGAAAAAGCAAGAGGCACTGGGTGTAGCTTCCCAATAGCTTAATTTAAAACAATTTAATGAAATATGTATGTCCTTATTAAGTTTAAGGGTAATTAACATGTCTTGGATTAGAACCTGTATTTGACCATAAAATCTAGAGAGCATTGTTAGAGTTTCTCAGGTTTATTTAACAAGATTAAACACTTTCTGTCATTAAATAAACCTTGCCTAATTAAAAATAAAGGGAAGAAAAAAGGCTTCCTGCTCCCAGCAACAACATTTCATAATATTTCATCATGGCACACTTGAAATAATTCAGCAGTACATCTGGAAGGGAGGAAAGATCTGGGAATCATTTTAAACCCTACCATACATAAGCCCAAGTAGCATCATACACAGAAATACAAATTTCATCAGATCCTCTCACCAAAACATCTCTAAAAAGCATCACAGATGGGTCATGAAATTGAGAAAATTGCCTCCCTATTTTCATCATCTTTTTAGTGTTTTTATCAGGCTCTTCATCATGTTGCTTAAAACTCCAGACCATTATAAATGGATGAGTATTATGCTGTGTGTGCTACTCAGAGGCACAAATAAGTCACTGGATTTGTTTGTGGAAGCCTCAAGAGACACCAGCACATTCAGATTTTCCTACCTATTAATGTAATGGCTTCCAAAGAGCTGCATCCATTTTGTGGTTTAAAGCTATTTTTAGGTACTTTTTAAAAAGAGTTTATATATTGACCATCACATAATCAAGAAAAATAAAACAAAAAACCCAAACAGCAACTGACAAATCTATTCCCAGAGTGTCCAGGGTGATGGTGCAGTGAGATCTGAGCTGCTCCTCTCACC